TGGCCGAGTGTCGCGCAAGTGCGGCACTGCAAAGGCGATGTCTGGTCGAGTGCCAATCATAAGATAAAGCAACGATCTGATGACAGTCTGGAAACGATTCCTAAGAACCGGATCAACAGGTGCTTCATTGGTCTTAGGCAAATAGCCAGTTGGCAATGGCGTGGGTGCGACTCGCGCATTCTCCATACCAAAACGCTGCAGTATTTTGTCTAGGTAGGCTCGCTGGTCAAGATGGACACAGTTGCCTTTCCAAGTGATACGCATGCGCAAGAACTCTTTGCCGTCGAGTTCTCTACACTCCCACTTATCCATGAAAGCTCGTTTGAGCCTTAGGACGGTAGGAGAGTTCTTGGGCCCCATAAAGAAGGCATCGTCAACATAGACTACGGCAATGCAGAAATTGCCATCTTTGTTGTAGACGAATATACCAGCATCTGACACAAGGCGTTTAAAGCCTAGTTCGGCCATGGACCGGTCGAGGGCTTTCCACCAAGCTAACCCTGCCTGTTTAAGTCCGTAGAGCGCGCGGCGAAGCTGGAAAACCATGTTTTCGCACCCTGGCTCTTTAAAGCCTTCAGGTTGCTCCATATATATTTCTTCGTCGAGATTGCCATACAAATAGGCATTTCGCACATCAACGGCATGAATTTGCCAGTTTTCAAGTGCGCATAGTGCAAACATCATTCGCACTGTCTCAAAACGAACTACAGGTGAGAAGACTTCATTGAAGTCGATTCCTTCAACCTGGGAGAAACCTTTGGCTACACACTGGGTCTGTGACTGCATTTTTAGACCAAGAAAATGATGTAAAAATCTTATAAATCTTATAAATCTTTTCATGATTTTATACAGAGGAAATCTTAAACCAAATTAATGATTTTAATTCATTTTTACAGCTAAAAATTTTAAACAAAAATCTTATAAGTTTATCACAATTTCTACATCATTTATATTTGCATTTTTGGCTCTAAAAGTTTGAAACCATGTTTCCACAAAATGTTTATTTGTATATTTATTTATGATTCTTGGGTAGAAATTTTGAAACTCATGTGCAGAAAGTTCTTATATTCAACTAGTACAGCTCATTTATTTATGGCAATTTCAGAACATAGATCGATAGTTTTTCAATATAGTTACTTGGTTGACAAACTGGTTCAAGATTTTTATGGCAGGAAATCTTTTACAAAAATCTTAAAAGAGACACAGGATTTTTTCAACATTTAGATTGTACTTTTGTGAGGTAAAAGTTCATATGCCAGTTTACAATCTTTACAGAATCTTTTGGGCTAAAAATGTTATAAAGTTTTTAAAGTTTTATCAGATTTTTTTATCACTTTCAGAACCAAAAATCCAGTCACAGACCCAGTGACAAGCCTGGCCTTTTTTCGACCATCAGATTTGATGTCGAAGACCCATCGGTTTTTAATGACCTTTCGGTCTCGCGGGCAATCAACCAGGTCATAGACCTTGCGCTTCCGGAGAGCTTCAAGCTCATCACGGCATGCAGCACGCCATTCCTTCTGTTCAGCAGGTTTAAGCTGCTGAATATCGCGATATGTCCATTCTTTGACATTGGACTGATTGGGATTTCCGCCGAATAGTGGATATGCACGCAAAAGCAACGCTTCGACGAACTGTACTCCCCCCTCCTGGCATAGTTTTGCTAACCGAGCATCTCCTTCAGAATCAGATTCCGAGGATGGGGCTTTACTGGCGCTTTCGCGATAGCCAGTGAACGGTGTTTCCGGTGCAGATGGGTCATCGCTTTTTCTCGGAGTCTGAGGTGGTAAACTAGGCACAGGAGCCGGTTCGTCCTCTGGTGGAGGCGATAATTCGCTCTCTACCATTTGCTTCCGAGAGACCTTGCGTGACGCTTTGCCTTTGCCTGGTGAGGATCCACCCTCTACCAAGTCTTTCCAGGCGCGTTCACGCTCAATCTGCTTGTATTGGAAAACAGGATGTTTCCTTTCACCGTATATATTGCCCTCTCGTTTCGGCACTTTCCTGAGACG